GGTAGTCTCCATATTAACCCCAATAAGCTACAAAGATCCCTACTAAGGGTCCCTCCTAAAGCGCTTAGTTTTAGGGGCTTTGGGTTTAGGGTTTAGGGTGCGCCTCTTGGGGATGCCGCGTGCTGCTGAGGTAAGGCTGCAAAGCCACAGCCGACATACTGAGGTGAATACCTCCTTAGTGTAATTGAACCTAGAGACTTTTTTGGTGAAGGTTTGAAACCCTAAACCCCTTAAGCCCTAAACCCAAAACCCTAAACCCTGTGAAGAGGGTTTCAGGAGATTCAAGACTTCAGTGTTAAGGGGTGAGGGGTGTTCTAAGCTTTCCAGAGACTCCGACATCTCCAGAGACCAAAGAGCCCTGCGTAGCCGCATGGTTTAGGGTTTTGGGGGTTTAGGGTTATTGGAAGATTTCGAAAATTAGGGTACCTATTTTGCGGTCCTTATAATAAGGGTCCTACTATTTAGGGTACTATATGAGGGTCCCCTGCTTTCGGAAACTCCCATCGGTTCTGGAAACAAGGGATTTTGGAGTCTCTGGGAAATGTAGTAGGGCAAGCTGAGCCAATGCGAAGACATGGAAAAGAGTTGCCGTGGGCCGCTCAGCTATTCGGGGTCCTCACGGTGGCAATACAGGCACCCTAAACCCTAAACCCTAAACATCTCTAAACCCTAAACCCCTAAACCCCTTAAGCCCTAATCCCTAAACCCTAAACCCTCAACCCTCAACCCTCAACCCTAAACCCTAAACCCCTAAACCCTAAACAGGGGGCCGGGGACGTGAGTCATCCCCCTTTCTGATCCCGAAGTTCATATACATAGCATACCCCAGAAAACCTTATTCCACTTGTCTTTGCCCCTACATTAAACGCTTCTTGTGCCGCAGGTCGTGAGGGCGAGGCACTCAAGTAGAGCCGGGGCTTAGGGTTCTTAGGGTTTAGGGACTGGGACCTGCTTCCTCAGTTTTCTCATCTCGTCCAGGACCGGCAAAGTCAAGAATCAAAACCACCCAAACCTATATCCCTGCTTTGTCGACTTGCTTGATTTGGGGATGATGGGTATCCCAACCTTATGTTTGCTTGCTTCTTTGTTGGCTTAGGTGCTTTTTTGGGTCCCCGGAAAGGCCGTTGATGTCGAAAACAGTAGTAACCACCCGTGTCCGACATAGCATTGGCAAACTCGTACATGCATGCGTACGCACATACGTCATGAATATATACGCCCATAATAATTCTACATAGGTAGACATTTACATTTACATAGGTTTGTACATATAGCACATGCGTGTACATGTGCATTTTGTGAGAACAAACACACGCACACACATATGCGCGTGCATGCATATGTACACACCCATACACATACATACATAGATACATACATACATACATACATACATACATACATACATACATACATAGATACATGCATACATACATACATACATACATACATACATACATACGTACGTACATATGTACATACGTACATACGTACATACTTACATATGCACATACGTACATACATACATAGTTGCATACATACATACATACATACTTACTTACTTACTTACTTGCTTACTTACTTACTTACGTACTTACTTACTTACTTACTTACTTACTCACTTACTTACTTACTTACTTACTTACTTACTTACTTACTTACGTACGTACATACTTACTTACTTGCTTGCTTGCTTGCTTGCTTGCTTGCTTGCTTCCTTACTTACTTACTTACTTACATACTTACTTTCTTACTTACTTACTTACTTACTTACTTACTTACTTACATGTATCTGTGTTATTATTTATATATATATATACATACACATGCCTGTTGCAACCTTTTGTGTTCATATCAGAGATGGGTACAAAGCAACTGTATATATATATACATCTATATATATATATATAATATATATGTGTGTGTATACATACATAACAGCTAATAAAAGAAGCAGGTTACATCGGAGACCAACAGGGCTATACACAGATACATCTTGGCTTCAGACTTTTGTGGCCAAAGTTAGTCGTACTATGACACGCACTGGTTGTCATCACTATAGCCTCCTCTAGCACAGCCAGTTGGCGCAGCATGCTACAGCCACGTGCAGTACGGCAGAGGAAGGTATGCCATAGAGTGCAGTGTTGAATGGAGCGGCATCGTACATAATAGAACCGAGCATTCACTCCTTGCGAATAGGGTATAGTGTGGCGCAGCGAAGCTGCCTGGCAAGCTCCAGCACAGCATGTTGTGGTGGTTGCAGTGTGGCAGAGTGCTTTGACGTACCGTTCACCGCAGCAGAATTTGATGCTGACCGAAGGGCCGAGAGAACATGCCCTATCTCCACTGCCATCAGCAACAGACGAAGGACGTTCGTGACCCCAACATACACAGACATACGCTTTTCATCCCTCAACTAAACAGGTTAACCAACACAACTGCCGTGCGAAGCCTTCAGATGGTGCGATATCGTTGCATAGCGGAGAACCCTACATGCAAGTTGCTTGTGCCTTAAGGGGCAAGGTCACATTGGACGAGGCTCCAACATAGCTCAATTAGGGAGTACTGGTACAAACTGCAGTAAAGGTTTACGGAAAAGGGGGCCCGGGAGTCAAGTTAGGGATATTGGAGTCTCTGGATCAGTGTGACCTAGTGCGCGAGCCCACAGGGGGGCTCCCATTCCTGCCCAAATGCGCCATGGTTGGAAACGAGCATGGCCAGGTGGGGCTTTCACCCTAGACATCCGACGGCCCAGCGCACAAAGCCCCAAACCCACCAGAAGAGAAATTCCCAGTGCGAGATCCTAGGACAAACAGACTGCAGCATTAAAGCTGCAATTCTTAACCCTAAACTCTAAACCCGAAGACCTCAACTCTAAGCCCTAAACCCGAAACCATAAGCCCTAAACCCTAAACCCTAAACCCGAAGACCTAAACCGGCAGACCCAGGCTCTGAAAATGGACTCCCGCTGGAAAGCCTACAGCCTAGAGCCTAAACCCGAAAGCCTGATCGCCGATAGAGCCGTGATGCCTAAACCCCAAACACCAGCAAGTTTCTACAAAGTTTTATACGGCTTAGGGTTTAGAGTTTAGGGTTTAGGCCACAGATCCTAAACTTGTAATCCACGGTCGAGAATCCAAATTCGCACAGAACAGTATTTAGGGTTTAGGGTTCCCAGTAGTGCCCTCTTGCCCTTTTTATTTTAGGGTCTCCTTAAGTCGAACATCAAGAAGCAGGGTACCCTTATCCCTTAATTCCTAAACCCTGAATCCTGAACCCTGAACCCTAAACCCTAAACCCTCAACCCAAAACCCTAAACCCTGAACTGAGGGTTACTGGGGAACCTAGATGTCAACCATCAGCGCAGTTCGAAACGCCAGACCTGGCAAACCGAAGTAGTTCCGGCATGATTCTCGTAGGACATGCATGGGTCCTACGGTTTTTGAGGGGTTTGGGGTTGAGGGTTTAGGGTTATTGAGCTTACAGCTTCTGCGGAGGCTTAGAAGCAGGTGTTTGCAGCGTTTTGGCGTTGCCAACTATATGAATGCAGTTGTGTGGGGTCGAGGCGTGGGGAACCCTAAACCCTAAACCCTAAACCCTAACTCTTGTACGGGTTGGAGAGGCTCTGAGGCACCCTTACAAGAATCTCAGAAGATGCCGCGAAGATCCCAAACCCTGAACCCTGGACCTTAATCCTAAATCCTAACCTAGCCTAACCCCTGAACCCTAAACCCTAAAATCTAAACTCCCAACCCTAAACCCCCGAACCCTAAACCACGAACCCTGAGCCCTAAACCCCGAACCCCAAACCCCCGAAGCCTAAACCCTAAACCCTAAACCCCGAACCCTAAACCCCCTAAACCCCCGGACCCTAAACCCTAAACCCCCGAACCCTAAACCCTAAACCCTAAACCCCGAACCCTAAACCACGAACCCTAAACCCTGCAAGTGGTGGCCGTAGGTCCCAAG